TAATCAACTCAATTTTTATCCCATGCATTATGAGGTAGTAAGAATTTCTGCGATAACACAGCAGCAATTCACGTATCAAAGGAGCCATGTTTTCATAAGAAATCCAAGCATATAAAATCATATTTCTATTACCTGAAAAATGAGTTGAGACTAAGAGAGATCGAGATTAGTTATATATCTACCAATCGAATGATTGCATGTCCTCTAACAAAAGGGGTTACCCCTAATGTTTTATAAGACATGTGAGAGAGATGGGGATGAAAGAAAGTGACGAAGAGATAATGTAATGCCTTCAAAGGCCAAGTGGAAGATGTTGAGTGAGTGTGGTTATTAAAGGCCTTATTAGTGCTTATAATGAAACATTTGATATAATAGAACATGAACTCAATGAGAGTTGATCCCTCATAGACCATACCAAGCAAATAACATTTGCTGATTCCGAAATGTGCTTGACAGTCTAGGTTAGGCAGTTGAAAAAAATCTATGTCACCAGGGCATAGAAAACTATCCGATAAATGTTCTAAAAGCTCATCCCTTGATGAGGAAGTCGAAGTATGCCTGGATGAGTAAGCCGAGGGACTGTCAGACCCTTGTATGTGATGGTGTAAGAGATACCCCTATGCGTCATAAGAGCAGTGGTCGCATCAGGTCCAGGTGACTTTGGCACGTCTCTAAGGGAGAACCTAAAATCCACAAACTGGGATTACGACACCTTGGCTCATCAACCAGATTTTCGTGACCCACTAATGACCCCCTGCATAGACTGTGGGTCATAGAAAACACTGGATCAGTTGATAAAGCAAGTTTAGACCGTAGTCCACAATTGAAGGTGGAGTGCCCTAAAATATTTAGACCATATAAATCCTTATCCCAACTAATGAATTTAATTGTGTTTATTTTTATGATTTTAGAATTATTATTTGAATTTTTCTAGATATTTGGATATTTTATTTATAAATTTTGAATTTATAAAAATAGAGATATTGATTTTTTAATGTTTTAAATATTCAAATTAATTCTAAAATATTTTATTAATATTTAAAATAGTATTGGCGGTTCATTGTGCACCTGGGCCCACTATGGCCTAAATTGGTTGGGCCAACAAAGCCACTTCATGGGTGGCACGCCCCAATTTTAGGGGCTTCTTATTCTCATGGGTGGCACGCCCTATTTTTAGGGTTTTTCTATTTTATATGGTTAATTGAATTGATAAAGAGTAATAACTTTGGCTTAGAAGTTATTGTAAGATTTGGATAAGGGTTTTATCTTTAGGAAAAATTGAATGAATCTTTAAAAGCTTGATAAGGCTTATGCATATTTTGGATAAAGTACAATATTATGATTAATATTACCTTATTTAAATTTTATTGATGGGATAATGGTCACAGAAAAAAGGGATAAAGGTTTCATCACCTTCCACAGCATGTTGGTGGTCCATCTATGGAATAGATGTCTCAAATCTCTCACCCCACAAGTTACTCATAGTTTGTATTCAATCCACAAGAAGAGGCAAACCACAGAAATTCTAAAAAACCTCTATCCTATTTTTTTTCACATAAAAATAGGACATCTTGCCTATAATTCTCTACACACTAATATCTCTCTTCTCTCTAAATATTCTTCTCTCTCTTTGATAGCAATAGGGGGCACACCTAGAAGTCTCTTTATCTAAATCATACTAAGGGGCACACCCCACCTCTTAGACTATGTCTCTCTAGGTTGACCTAAGGGGTATGCCCCACCTAGATGGTGTTCTATCTGTCTCTCATCTTGTTTTGATGAACCTAAGGGTTGCATAATAGCAAGTAGATGCTATATTGGGTTTGTATTCACTGTCCTTTTGCCTCTAGCTTATACCTTTGGGCCTTCTTTTTATTAGGTTTTTTCCTCATGATACCTTTGAATCTCATCAACATTATTGATCATCTTTCTGCTAGTGGATTACCAAAAAAAGGAGTTATGATTTGAAAAATTTTCAGAAGTGCAATCTTATGGCAGATTTGGTTAAAACGTAACAAGATAACCTTTAATAGGGTGTCTCAGAGTATTGAAAACGTAAAATATCTTATTTTACAATTTTTTTGGAATTGGTTTTCCTCCACACCTAAAGGACATGGTGCTCTTCATACTGATATTTATATCAATCTGAAATTTTTGGCTCATTCCTCTTCTCACTCTAGCCGTCCTCTTAGAACTTGGATTGCACCTCTAGAAGCTTGCCTCAAACTTAATTTTGATGGCAGCTCATTTGGAAATCCAGAGCCTGCAATTGTTGGTGGGCTTTTTCACAACAATTTTGGATCGGTTCTTTTTTTCTTAATCCGGTCTTTGTGAGTCTACAACAGCCAAGCATGTTGAATTGGCTGCTCTCCTTCAAGGCTTTCATATTATCATCAACAAGGGTTTCATTGGTGATATTATTATTATAATTGAAGGGGAATCCCTGAATGTTATCAAGTTGTGTAGAAAAGAGCAAAGGATCCATTGGTCAATATTTACTCTTCGGTTGAAAATTCAAGACCTTTGTGTCTAGCCTAATTTGATGATAAGCTCCAGCCACACGATACACAAAGCCAATGATGTTGCTGATAGGTTTGCTAAACATGGTGTTTCTCTTCCCTTTTGCAAGTTTCTAACGATTTGATCCAATCTTTGTAATCTCATGCTCTTAAAGCATTGCTTTAATAAAAGCTCATAACATTTATCAAAAAAAAAAAAAGTAGATGCTATCTATCTTAAACTAGATACTGTGGGTTTGTACCTAAGTTCGAAATTTGTGATCAAGAGGATTTCATAGTTCCGTTAGATGGTTTGCCTTGAAACTTGCTTTCCCATTGAGATTGAAGGTTTATCGTTGATCCCACGCTATCGGATGGTGGTGACTCGATGTGAGGTGTAATAAGCCTGATTGAGGTAATCTTCGGCATTCTTTTTTTTATTTCTTGGCTTTTCAATTATAATGTCTTTACATTCCCAAGCATGAGAAGTAGCGGTTATTTTTCTTTGTTTAAAAAAAATTAGTTTAATGCCATCAAGGTTTTAAGATGTTAGATTTGTTGATTTTACTTTTATTTTTTTCTTGAAGCAAGAATTATTGTAACAAGGCCGCTTGTAAGTAATCTTT